AAACAAAACAAGTGCATTAATTGATCGTGAGTGTTTGGTAATTTCATGCATTATTTCGGCTGACAAATATTTTTCTAACTCATCCATAGAGACTTACACTTTTCAACTGGTGCCTTATGATAAATTACATCAGGGATAGACAACCAATGGCCTGCGGGCCTCTTCCGGCCCGCAAAACTTTCAGGGAGCTGAATTGATCTCTGAAACATTTATATTCTTCAACATTTTCTATTCTTCCTAGTATCTCTAGTGCAATTGTCACGAAGATCTGCATGGTGCACAGTTTCTGTAGAGCAGTCTCTGTCGAACAGTCTCTGTAGAACAGTCTCTGTAGAAAAGTCTAGGATGTAGGAAGTCGTGAAGAACGGCACGGTGCACAGTCTCTGTCGAACAGTCTCTGTAGAATAGTCTCTGTAGAGCTGTCTCTTTTGAACAGTCTATATAGAACAGTCTATGTAGAACAGTCTCTGTAGAATAGTCTCTGTAGAGCTGTCTCTTTCGAACAGTCTCTTTCGAACAGTCTATGTAGAACAGTCTCTGTAGAACAGTCTCTGTCGAACAGTCTCTGTAGAATAGTCTCTGTAGAGCTGTCTCTGTCGAACGGTCTATGTAGAACAGTCTATGGAGAACAGTCTCTGTAGAACAGTCTCTGGAGAACAGTCTCTGTAGAACAGTCTCTGGAGAACAGTCTTTGTAGAACAGTCTCTGGAGAACAGTCTCTTGAGAATAGTCTCTGTAGAATAGTCTTTGTAGAACAGTCTCTGTAGAACAGTCTCTGTTGAGTCTCTGCAGAACAGTCTCTGTAGAACAGTCTCTGTAGAACAGTCTCTGTAAAACAGTCTCTGAAGAACAGTCTCTGAAGAACAATCTTTGTAGAACAGTCTCTGGAGAACAGTCTCTGTAGAACAGTCTCTGTAGAACAGTCTCTGTAGAACAGTCTCTGAAGAACAGTCTCTGAAGAACAATCTTTGTAGAACAGTCTCTGAAGAACAGTCTCTGAAGAACAATCTTTGTAGAACAGTCTCTGGAGAACAGTCTCTGTAGAACAGTCTCTGTAGAACAGTCTCTGTAGAACAGTCTCTGTCGAACAGTCTCTGAAGAACAGTCTCTGAAGAACAATCTTTGTAGAACAGTCTCTGGAGAACAGTCTCTGTAGAACAGTCTCTGGAGAACAGTCTCTGTAGAACAGTCTCTGTAGAACAGTCTCTGTAGAACAGTCTCTGTCGAACAGTCTCTAGGAAGTAGGAAGGTGACTTTTGGTTGAACGCTTGGTTTAAAGAAAAGGGAGAAAATCTTGTTACAGTCGCAGCTGTTAGAATGGCATGTCTCGTTTCTTTGTTTTACACCAATCATCAAACGGAAATATATCTCAAAGATGGTCCAGGAATTTGTTGTGGCGGTTGACTGTGTTAAGGCCCAGTTAAGTGATTTGTCATTCCATGTGACCGTGTAGAGGGATTTTGTCGTATCCCGGGATTGTCTTCGGTGTAGAGAGAACTGTGCGACTTATATGTGTTTATGTGAATGGAGTTTTTTTTTTTTTTTTTTTTTTTTGCGATGCCTCTATTTAGAGAGATTCATCATGGCACGTGACCGTGAACAGGGAAATGTGTCACGTGACCATAGAGAGGAACTGATCGCACGATGTGACTAAGTAAACTAAATGTATCGCGTCATTTGAATTCTTTAAGGAATAGTCGTGTTATTTGATTGTGTAAAGTGATTTGTCGTGTTATTTGATTGTGTAAAGTGATTTGTCGTGTTATTTGATTGTGTAAAGTGATTTGTCGTGTTATTTGATTGTGTAAAGTGATTTGTCGTGTTATTTGATTGTGTAAATTGATTTGTCGTGTTATTTGATTGTGTAAATTGATTTGTCGTGTTATTTGATTGTGTAAAGTGATTTGTCGTGTTATTTGATTGTGTAAAGTGATTTGTCGTATCATGTGACCGAGCAAAGACATTTGTCGTATCATGACTCATATGATTCTGATTCTGAGAGCGTACGTTGCTGCATCCATGTACTGGAATATGTGCAACGGTTGGCGAAGCGATGCTGTTATCCTAACGGCCCCTACCGGGTGCCAGGGCAGCCTTGAAACTCTCGATTGATGTCGAGTCCACGGCGGCATCGTCCAGTTGGTTCCAAGCGATTATTTTGCGTGGGAAGAATGATTGTTAATATTGGACTGTGTTACACCGAGGCACAGTGAAGCAATCACTATTGTTCCGGATGTAACTGCTGATGGAGTTCTCAGAGGTGAAGTCAGTGGTTATTGAGCGTTTGCATCTGATTAAGCGAATGGCCGGCACTAGCCCCGTGATCACTTTATACAGATAAGTTAGACGGAGCTTTTCTCGTCTGTCTTTGAGGGAGGGGATGTCAAATCTTTTTAAGATGTCAGTGACGAAGCCAGGAGTCGTGGATTTGTGGTCACTTGCGATGAAGCGATTCTTCTGTCTTAAGAGTTTTGTCTTGTCACGTGGCATAGTTGAAGGATTTTTCAGGTCATGTGACTGTGTTGATGGATTTTTTCCCCTTGTCTTCTCAGGTTTCACGGTGTATTGATCGAGCTGCCGTGTTAGAGTATGGTGCTTTATCGCTAGCGGAAGGTCGAACTAATATTTGGTCGTCGTTAGATTACTTCTCTTGTTAACGTAGAGCTTTGCGATCTCTTCCTCCCCACTGCACGTAAACAGAATGCGGTGTTTGTAAAAAACGACAAGGTCGGGTTGGTTCAGACATGAGGATAACTCAGTGGCTTAAAAGATATCATTGATGGAATGCACTCAAGTTGTGAAATGAAATCTAAGAGCAGGGCATGCTAAACTTGAATTCATTAAACAGGACAAAAGATTTCTGACGTTTCGGCCAAGAGCCTTCATCAGTGGCTTAAACAGTTTAGTATTTGGGAGGGGGGGGGGGGTTAATCTAAGTTGGTTTGTATAAACCATGTTATAGATTAAAGAATACATGCCGGGAAAAAAATGCGTTCGTCGGAACTGTATTGATGAAAACTCTGCGGGTAACACACACACCATGTTTCTNTGATTTGAAAGTTTTGATAAGACTATTGGATAAGAAGAAAGAATATTTTAAGCGGTGGGGGCGGGGGAGCGCTTGACCTGAAACTGTCTGGTTGACTTTACATCAAACAGAACCGGTTAAAAAAGAAGAAATAATAACTTAACGTTTAATAAACGTAGCTGAAAATGAAATTTCAAAAACCGGTCATTAATTTCCAGGGGACATGATGGGCGAAAAAGTCTCAGGAGAAGACAATCGATGCCAAAGTAAAAACGCAATTTGCTCTAATCAGTTTTACACACAGCAGTCGTGTTTTAAATTTTTAAAGACATAAAAAAAAGCACGGCGGGTGTTTAATGGCGTTAATCACGTGACCCGTGACGTCGATACATTTAAAACAATGGAATTACGTCAAGAGGAATTAAATCCAGAAAGATGAAGAATTATACAGTGATACAACAATTATTAAGACACTATTTTTAAAAAAATGAAAATTTATGTAAAATCATTTTTTAAAAAGTAATATTTTTTGAGTCAAAGACCCGAATGGTTGTAAACCAGGAGGTTTTGAATTACAGCCCATACAAAACACATACACATTTAATTTTTAGTTACTTCCCTCAGAAGTACAACTACACCAAACAAAACCAGCCCACACTAGTTCAATGAAAGGTGTTTGTGCCTGGTCTGAATGTGCCCCAGACGTCTGCTCTCTCCTTTAAAATATTGACAGGATATATATTTTTAGGGGTCGTTCGCAAATTACGTCACGCAAAAAAAAGAACTTTTCAGACCCCCACTCCCCGATGTCACAAAGTGTCACGAATCCTTTACCCCCACCCCCCCCCCCAATTTTTAATGTCACACCTAAAAAAATTCAAAACATACATAAAATTTGTAATACTAAAATATATATTTTTAGGGGTCGTTCGCAAATTACGTCACGCAAAAAAAAGAACTTTTCAGCCCCCCACTCCCCGATGTCACAAAGTGTCACGAATCCTTTACCCCCACCCCCCCCCCAATTTTTAATGTCACACCTAAAAAAATTCAAAACATACATAAAATTTGTAATACTAAACTAATGTTTTTTTTTTTATTCTTTAACATTTTCCCATAATGGCCTAAGATGTAGTATTATTAGAAAACTGTGACGTAAAACGCAAAACAACAAAGTCCTCCCCGAGCCGAATGTAAAATGACCACAACAGTCTTTGCGCCATTTTCGATATGCGCAGAAGGTGTGCTCGACTGAGTTTCGCGGTACCAATAACACCAGAGACTATTTCGACCTCAAATTAAGGTTTTTTAACCAGTTCCTTACGTACCAGCTATCAAGTTTTTAAGGGTAACTAGGATTCTTTCAATAAATCAAATATGTTTGTGTTCCCCCATGGAATTACCGATTTAGATCGCCTGATGGGAAGACCGATCTAGATCGCCTGTCTTAATTTTTATTAGCAACGAAAAGTGGACCCGTTTAATATGGATAATACTATTGCTGTTTTTTTCAAAGCTGTGTATTGTTAGTTAATTTAAGATTTGATAAGCATATCACGTTAGATCGCAAATGTTTTTCAACAGGTAAGAAATGTGGCGCGAACTTTATACAGAAATATTCGGTGCGCTATTTCAAACACAATTTAATCTAGAGAACAAAATTCATTCTCACTAAAACGGATCTTATAAATAATAAATAAAAATAATTTTGTTTGAATCTATTTTTCGCATTCAATAGTTTGCTTTTTTTTTTTTGCCTCTCAAACAGAGCGTTCCCCCTGAGAATACAGTGCTTCATTTTTTCCCCATCGTCGACCATGAACTTGAAAGTCATCACGAGATGTCCTAATCGTGACGTGTTTCCGTTTTGATGAGGAGTCCGAATGCCGTCTTCTGCCGACGGCACAGCGAGTTGTTGTCAAGATAACGCGACGGCTGGTCTCCTCCCCAGGTCGGACGCTTCAACCACAGTTCCCGGCGCAGAGCTTGTCCGGTACACGGAGACGGTCCTGGTGGTGGTGACCGTGGTGCTGGCCGTCAACGCGCTGATAAGCCTCTTGCTCAACGTCTTGTTGATTTTGATCATACAGGTGAGCATATCTAGGAAAGAATAACTTGGTTATGATTTACAGCAGACTGGCAGATGCTATAAGAGTGTTCTCTATACCACTAGTTTCCATGTTAATTTCTATCACATTCTGAGATATTATGAATCCATGCACTAGAAGTCTGAGAGGTGAGTAATTTTGTTCTTTTAATTGTGAATCACAGAGAATCGAGAAATTTAAGGAGAAAAAAAAATCAAAACAAAAACAACCAATGGAAATAACAGGATTAAAACCACGGAGATCTTCCAGTTCATAAATTTCTTTTTTAGCTGGAAATATTCCGCCAAAAAAAAAAAATGGCTGTTGCAATGCGTGAACTTCCCATCCTCTAAAGTTTCTTGAAAAAACATGCATTCAAGTAAAGAATTTTTTAGAAACTCAATTAGTGCTAGCCCTCCCCCCTCCCTTCGCCGCCCCTGGGACACAGCCGCACACTTTTTTTCACGCCTCTGAATTATATTAATTTTATAATGTCGCACCTCATTTTAAACCGCAGATTCATTATATCATATTTGAAATGTGACTATTTCCGTAAAACACCAAAAATTGTGCGCACCAACCACACTTGCAGTATTTTACAGAATATCTTTAAGCTTAGCTATCGGGAATTTTATGTTGCGTGCTATTGAACGCAGTGTTACACCATTCATTCTTGCTTGCTTACATACATTCAATCCTAGAGAATGGTAGTCGCTTAGTCGATTGATTTGTCACGTGATGAGAGTAAAAACGAGTAAGACTTCCGGTAGGCTGTATACAACACACTAGTGCTTGACAACAGTAGCCCCTTACACACTACAACTAGTAATTCAAGATGCCTAGGCAATGTTCGGTTTTTGGCTGTTCAAACAGTCAAGTTAAGGACAGCGGTTTAAGTCTGCATTAGTTTCCGCTTAAGGATAAAGAAAATTTAAGACAATGGCTTGACAAAGTGGACCTTCGTTATTTATTTACATGAAATCTTGTTCCAACCGGTTATTAAAATTTTCCTTCGCAGCACCAATATTGAATAAACACGCAAATGACGTCATGAGTATGACGACATTTTGTCCAATGAAAATTAACAATAAAATAAACAAAGGGGGATGACTCCTGCACAAATATTCAATAAACACGCAAATGACGTCATGGGCACGCACGGAGCTCAACAACAGCCTGCCGATGAAAGTATTGATAGTTTTATAACTGACGTATATTTATTGTCCCATTTATGTATTTCATTTAAAAAAACGCGTGTTTTCCAGAATATTTTGAAAGGTAAAATTTTTAAGTAACATAACATTGGGGAATCACTGATGAAGTATCTTTTGTTGTGTGTAGCAGCCTAGTGATGGCTTACTCTCATCACGTGACCAAACAAGGAAGTGACTAAGCGACTCCCATTATTATTTTGTGATTGACACGGCAATAAACACCATGTGAAAATATAATACATTCTTAATTTATGTTCATGCTGAACTTTCGAAGGTCTCTCGTTTTAGAATAAATACCTAACAAAAATAGTGTGTTTTAAATTTGCTTTTTGTTTTCAATTACGAATGAAAAAATTTAATCAAAACACTTCATTGTCTCATTTTACATATGTTTCAACTGTGTTAGAAGGTTTGTTTGTTTGTTTTTTTTTTCATTTTTATTAAAGTCGTGAATCAATCACATATTTTTAAAATAAAAAAAATTTTGATAGGAAGACACATGCTTTTGGAAAATATAAATTAAAACGTTTTTTTTAATAGTCTACGTCAATTATTGTTTTGAAAAAGATTTCTTTGCTTTGGCCATAAGATTAATTTTCTAGAGATATATCACAAAGTAAGTGATATTTTTTTTTTAAGATTGGCTTTACACAAGTTGTACAGTTTATAACTTAATACTGAGGCTTTTGGTCTGCTAAACTGTTAAAACTTATAAAAAACGGGTTAAACTCTACTAAACCCGAGTACAGATGACCGTTATTTACATCGAGATTTCTTGAATCCGCCAGTTCTCTCCAAGCCTGAGAACTCCACCCAACAGCCACCTCCTGAACATCTGCGTCAACAATGTCCTGCTGTGCCTCGACATGGTGCTGTGTGCCCTGTCCTTACAGTACCACGACTTTGCACTGCCCAGCCACAAGAGTGAGGTGCTCAGCGGCGTCCAGCTTTTCATCACGTACAACAGCTTGCTGCAGTACTGGGGCACTTTCGCGACTATTGGGTATTACCGGTGAGTAGTTAGTGACCATTGGGTATTACCGGTGAGTAGTTAGTGACCATTGGGTATTACCTGTGAGTAGTTAGTGACCATTGGTTATTACCGGTGAGTAGTTAGTGACCATTGGGTATTACCGGTGAGTAGTTTAGACATTTGTGACCATTGGGTATTAACCAGTGAGTACTTTAGAAATTTGTGACCATTGGGTATTACCAGTGAGTAGTTAGTGACCATTGGGTATTACCGGTGAGTAGTTTAGACATTTGTGACCATTGGGTATTAACCAGTGAGTACTTTAGAAATTTGTGACCATTGGGTATTACCAGTGAGTAGTTAGTGACCATTGGGTATTACCGGTGAGTAGTTTAGACATGTGTAACTATTGGTATTACCGGTGAGTAGCTTAGACATTTGTGACCATTGGGTATTACAGGTGAGTAGTTTAGAAATCTGTGACCATTGGATATTAACGGTGAGTAGTTGAGACATTTGTGACCATTGTTGTGACCATTGGGTATTACTGGTGAGTAGCTTAGGCATGTGTGACCATTGGGTATTACCGGTGAGTAGTTTAGACATGTGTGACCATTGGGTATTACCGGTGAGTAGGTCAGACGTTTGTAGTTTGTAACATTTGATTATGATCACTAATACTTCTCCAAAATATTTTCCGTTATATGTTAGTTGTTAAGATTTTAGACTTGGGTATTATCGTCGAGGTAACTCCATTATCTGTTGATTTTTTCGAGACTCTCTCTCCAGCCATCCTGCACTATTGATAATAATTTTGGAATTTAAAAAAAAACTGCGTGACACCTCAAAAGCAAATATTGTTTGCTTATCGTTACCTCGAAGTTTTTATTTAAAAACTGGCGTCTTGACCACGGCTCCGGGTTGTTAAGTTTAATTTACCCGACTTTGACGGAAGAGAAGGACTGACGCAAGGAGTGTCTGCCAACGCAGAACATATAACTTAACGTTTTGTAGTTACTACTTACTACTTTATTGCACCGATTTACGCCTTGTCACTATAAATACGTCTTAGGGGAAACGAGTAAATCTTATTCATCATGGGCGGATTCGTCAGTAAATTCCAATATGACGTAACTTAGAATTTAAAAAAAAAACAGAAAAAAAAAACAAAAAAAAAACAAAACAAAAAAAACAAAACAATTACAACCTGAGAGTTCGTTAGTGACCAGCAGACAAATAAATGAACTAATGTCGAGCTTTACTGCGCTTCATTTTCATGTTTTTCCTGACTTGATGGCAATAAATATACGTTTTAAGTGCCCACAAATCAGTTTGAGAAATTTTATTTTATCTTCTGGGTCTAGTAGGGTACGTTGCTGCATCCATGTACTGGCATATGTGCAACGGTTGGAGAAGCTATGCTGCTATCCTAGCGGATGATAGGGCAGCCTTTAAACGTCTCGATTGATGTCGAGTCCACGGCGGCATTGTCCAGGTGGTTCCAAGCGATTATTTTGCTTGGGAAGAATCATTGTCTAGATTGCACCGTGTTACACCGAGGCCCAGTGAAGCATTTGCTATTGTTCCGGACGCAATCTTCATAAAATTAGATTCATTAGCTCAACTTGAGTAAATGTCCCCTGGAGCGAACCCCTAAAAGTGCTGGTCGCACTCCGCGTATATTTAATTAGTGAATTCATCAGGGTGTTTTTTTTTTACACGTTGTTCATACGTCGCACTAGCACTGAGTGAACACATGTCCCTTTCCATAATTAATGCAACTTTATATATAAATATATTCACAGACTGTATATAGTCGTAAACTCTTATCCTAGCGCAGCTCGCTATCAGAGAGAAATATAAGACAACCTTCTTTCTTTCAATGACTGCCCCACGACAAAAACGTACATCACACAACAGATTAGACAATATGTCATAAATAACCATAAAAATACGTCACCAAGTCGAGCGCGGGACGAGCGTTCGCTAACTAATTAATCTCTCAAAAACACACTGCGCGTAATCAAACATAATATCCAGTCACAACCATGGGCGCCCGCAGGTAGGGGCAAGGTGGAGTACTTGCCTCCCTGGATTGATTGGATAAAAATTTTTAGACAAAAATAGCCAAAAAATGTATTAAAGTATACAGAAAATAAAGAGAAAGTAACGAAGCTGTTGTCCTGTCCGTTCGTTCACCAGACAAATACGTTACAGTAAATTAAAACTACATTAAAACATTACTAAAAAATTTTTGCCCCCCCCCCCTGGAAAGTTAATTGATTTTTTAGCCCCCCCCCCCAAAAGTTTTCTGCCTGCGCCCATGGTCACAACAATTATTAGAGAACTTCCATGTTCGACAGTGCTCCCTTATCCTACCCACACAAATACATTGTTACATACATTGTTTTATATAAACCCCAAAGGTGCCGCCTACGATGATTCGACTGGAACGCCGCTGATAAGATTGATGATTGTTCTGACATAATTCCTACTGATAAGATTGATGATTGTTCTGATATAATTCCAATTCCGCCTGCCAAGGATTGATAAGGAAGGGAATATCGCAGTGGGAATATAATAATTGGATTAATTAAGCTTATTAGTTTATGAGATTAAGTCTTTTTTTTTTAAACGGAAAGAAGTGTAAAATATAAAATTGAATAGTGGATGCATTGTCAATGGATATCAAGTGATTTAGACCTGTACCTGAGTTGTCTACGTGGAGTAAGAGTTGTGTACCTGAAGGCCGAAGTAAGAATGGTGTACATGGAGTAATAATTCTTTATAGGAAGTAAAATATGTGGAGCTCGAGTAAGAATTTCGTACCCGGATTAAGAAATTTTTTGGGTCAGAGTTGTGTACCTTAAGAGTCAGGGTAGTGTACCTTGAGTTGGAGTTGTGCACCTTGAGGCAAAGTTGTGTATCTTAAATAGAGCTGTCAACAACAAATGATTCTATTAAAGACAACAGACCAGACTACTTAAAAAATTACTTTCTGCTATGTGCTTTAGGTTAGGCCCTAGATCAGGCTCATCAAACTACGGCATGTGGGCCGGATCCGAGCCGACAGTGGTCCCTAATCCGGCATGAATGGCCCAAGTAACGGTACCTGGGTACCAGACGCAAATATGGAACCGGACATTGGTCATCTCATTAGTCATACTTCCCTTTGAAATACTAACACGTTTGTGTTGGATATACTTGGTCCTTATTTTAAATATGTTATTATTTGTTAAATGAGAAATGTGCTTAGAATTCAGATATTTGCAGTGTGCATAGAATTATGTAATATCTTATCAATCTATAGTTTGCTCCCCCCCCCCGACAGTGTCTGAGGAACACTAATCCGGCCCCTTGTTAAATACAAGTTTGAGGACTCCTGTCCTAGATGTTCTCTGGTCTAAAAAAGACCGTTTGATGCAAAGCTACCGTCCAATCGATAACATGAGCGTCATCATCAGTGATGGACACAGGGAAGACGTGCGAGACCCATTCCCGACAGTCAATTAGTTTAGCGCAGTGGTTCCCAAACTTTTTTGAAAAGTATCAGTTTTTATAATGGAGACCCTTAAGCCTACATTCTGCTATACAAATTCAATTGGTGTTTATTTTTAATTCCTGGAGCGGCCGCCGAGCCTCAAAAATGTGTACAGGTTGGGGACCACTGGTTCAGCGAATGTTGGAAGTCATAGAAGCGCTGACGATGTATGAGAACGTAGAAAAAGATTCCATGATACTCTTCAACCCCTTTGAAGTGACGCATTAAAGTGCATCCGCCTTGTATTAATAGTCCCCCTCCCCCCCCCCCCCCCCGCTTTTTCTGAATAATATGTACTTTAGTCTTAAAATAGTGAAGCTGTTAGAACGGGATTTTAAAATCTGATTGTTTTTTTGTTTTGTTTATCTTAGAGCTTCTTCGTTTAATTACGGTAACGTGACAATGTCGGCGCTCAAATAAAAGTGCTAATAACGTAGACATTTTTGTTATAAAAGTCTAAACTTATAAATAATGCTTTCAAATTATTATTTTTTTTTTAAAGTTAAAATTACATGTAACCTGATCTATACACTACAGGAGCTTGTTTTTGTGTGTGTGTTATTTTTCTTGAAGTTGATCTAGACTTTTTGTGGCATAAAGCTAAAAAGACGATGTAACAATAATGAATTTATTCTTTTTAGTTTGCGACAGGAACTGAAGTCAGAGGAAGGGGAGGGAAGATCTACATGTTTTTTTTTTAAAAAGTACATGTATATATGATGTAGCAAACGGGCTCTTTAAAAAGTTCATTTTACACACTCATCCTACCCAGCCACCCTTCCCACGTTTTCTCAAACTTGATTGAAAGCCCCACTTGTTTCCATGTGCTCCACCCCAGACACAAGACCATCAAGAAGCCCGGATTAACCTTGCGCAGCCGACGGCAGCTCGTGTCCAGAACGGTAACCTGCAACTGGATTATCTCGTCCCTGCTGAGCATGACCGTGACCTTGTCCTACGCGCCTTATTCACAGTACGCCTTGACCACGCTGGACCCGTTCAGAAGGTATCTTTCACGTCAGTTACCACCAGCCTTTTAAAAGGCAGCCCACCATTTCCCCTGATGCGCCTTCCAATTTCCCCGTTTAGCAGAGTTGATATAAGACGATGCATTCAGTGGCGTAGATTTTTGCCTCAAACTCCCCCGCCCCCCCCCCCAAAAAAAAAGGGGGAACAAAAAGAAACAACAAACAAAATCACCACCAAAAAAAACAAAAACAAAAACTTTGCAATGACTAAAAAAAAAATATTTTTAAGCCCCCAGGGGCAGACTCTGCCCCCCCCCCCCCCCCAAGCTTACACTGATTAATGCTTTCAAAGTGCAACACAACACCATACGTTGACCGAGTTATTGAGTGCATTAAAGTTTAGGCTTAACCGGCCTCACACATCTCAAAGCTCAAAAATTAAAACGTCATGCCTGCCGGTCAGAAATTTTTTTTTTTTTTAGTTCCTACTCTGGGAGTTATTAAAACGTAAATGAATAATAATTTTAAAAAAATATTATTCTTGTGCAAAGAGTTCTTTAGAGATAAAAGTTTCAAGAACTTTTCAGAGGCCTGAGATCGAACACGCCGTGTGTTAAAACAATGAGATTCAAAGCAGACTAATCGGTGCGTTCATTGAGAAAACTAGGAGTTCGTCTCTATTTTCCAAGCGACAGTTATTTTCACAGCTCACTGCTGGATGTAACGTGGAGATGCTTTTCGAAAGATTGCAGAAGTGTTTACGAGCATGATGTAGAAGTGTTGACGAGCATGATATAGAAGTGTTTACGAGCATGATATGAATGATATGAATCCAAAGGATTCGAAGTGTATGTAGACGAAACTTAATAATTGTTTTATTGTTTATTAATTTTCGAACATATTTACCGCACATACTTTCTTATTGCATGGCATTTAAAGAAATTAAAAACAATTTTCTACTTTTTCGGTGCGTTATAACTCGTTTTTGATAGAGAGTCTTTTTTAAAGTTTTTTAAAATATATTTTTTCACATATTTTTTAAAGATTTGCTTCTTTTTAGTTTTAAAATTATAGTCTTTAAAATATCGACACAATTAAATTTATTTACCTATTTAAACACCGAATGCCTTAAAAAAATCCCGGTTGAAGTGTCTTAACTTTTTACCTGGGCATACACTTAAAAAAAGTAGATCTCAGCTCACCCGCCCAACCGTTCACTCAACCGCGATCCAGGCGCGGTCAACCACGCTAATTCCACCGACAGTGTCAGCCTGCTTTCGTCGATCCATTTTTTTTTTTTCAGCCGTTCACCGGGTGAACACTGCACGAGAAATCTTAAAATGTCACGCCTGTAATCAGAAACGAAAAAATAATAAAAATAATGCCTCTTCTACCCATCCACTAAATGGAAATGTGATTATAGAGAAAATCTTTTTAAAAAATTAATTGAACACACGAAACAGTTCACAGCTGTGATGGGACGATTTACAACCGGAGTGATGTCGACAGCTTCAGAAGTGTGTCGCGATATTTTAAAATGAAAGAAAGCAACCGTTGTATATAAAAAAAAAAAAAAAAAATTGTGGCATTTTACCAACACGATTTCTATAATAAGACTTCAGAAGTAGAGATTTCATAATTAGACCCCCCCCCCCCCCCGGCAGATATTCAAAATTCTACTTTGTTTTCCTTACAGACTATTAACTTATTTGTGTGACACGCATCAAATCATATAGTTGTGTAAATGCGTTTTATGATCATAATTTATTTTCTTTCTCCCCTTGACTTTCTTTTCTGTGACAGTGATTTTTATTCCTATGACTTTTTTTCTGGGATTTTTTCCCTTGACTTTTTTCTGGGATTTTTTTCCGTGACATTTTTGCTTGTAATTTTTTTTCCGTAATTTTTTTTTGACCCTGTTGCTTTTTCCCTATTTACCTTTTGTCCTTGTACCTTTTTTCTTATTTAACTTTTGTCCCTGTACCTTTTTTCTACTTACCTTTTGTCCCTGTGCCTTTTTTTCCTTTTGTCCATTGACTTTTTTCTGTGACTTATTTCCTTGACCTTTTCCCACTCACCCAGCACTAATTAGAATTCTTATAAAATGCGTTCCTCAACACACGTTTTTTTGTTAAGTAACGTTTGTAGATGGGATTGCCGCCGCCATATTTTGGCGGATTATAGCTAGTACTTAATATTTTTTTACCCTTGCATCATGTGCCCACGAATTTTAAGCATTAGTTTAAGTGTTTCATAAGATACAAACATGTTAAAAAACAACACTCCCCCCCCCAAAAAAAAAAAAAAAAAAAAAAAAAAAACCCCCCCCCCCCCCAAAAAAAAAAAAAAAAAAAAAAAAAAACCCAGCAATTCTATTGTATTATAGTTCCTTTTTATAAGATTCACGACCCCCCCCCTCCCCCCCTTTTCCAAACAACCGACCCCTTTTTTTCAATTAAAAGAATATCCTCTACCTGAGTGCTATAAAATATGTTACGTATGCCTTAGTCACGGAAGTTTAAATTTAAAAGCAACACCAATAGCTTCCATGACAGTAACTTTAATCTCTAATCGAAACATCGACCAAGGGTGACAGATGACGTCAGTAAACTTGAGAGCGTGTCTTTAGAACTCGGTGAATAGAAAAAAAACACCCCTTTTGTTTGGAAGATGTAGGAGCACAAAATCCAAATAAAGCACATAATCAGTTGAATGTAGCAAACTTCCAATGAACCTTTATTCAGTCACGCACTGCATTAGTACACCTTGATGTACACCAAAGGTGTTCATGAAACTGATGGATTGTTTCAGTAATGAATGTCAAATGTTTATTCCATGATTAGTTGAAATACAGGCTCTGTAAGGCGTAATAACTTCGAACTTAGTCATATGAATTTTAAAGAACATACATTCCTAAATAAGAATCCCATATATATATAATATATATATATATATATATGGGATACAATTTATTGGTTGTAAAACTTATAAAATTATTTGAAGACATTTTCAAATGTTAAAGTCTAAATCGGTAAAATGAAAATACCAACCCGGCATGACCGGGACACTGCTAGTTTTGTTTATTAAAGTCTCATTAAAGAACTAAGCATTAACTGCTTGAAAAACATTTCCCCACACCATCCGTTAAATTATTTCTTGAGTGTGAATCGTGTTAAAATATGTTGACATCAGGTCTCATGGGTTATAGAGAAGTGTCTGGGTGTTCAACGTTTATTGAAACAACACAAGTCACGTTAGGAGCTACCTGGATAAGGCAGTTTAAGAAAGAATAAATAATTGAGCACTTAGTATTATAATCAACATTGATAACATGAGATTTTAATTGCATTAGATTACTTTAAACCAGAAATGATAGGCAAACCTTAACTAGTACGAAACGAGAATAATTTAATTACTTAATTTAAATAGAAATTTAAAAAAAAATAAACATAAAAAATGATCATTGGGTTGTGTAAATCATTAATTAATTAGATTTTGTCCATTTCGTTCCTATGGTTACGAAAAGGGTTTCATCTTCCACAAAATGTTAATTATTTGCCTTTTTCTTATTCATGACTTAATTTAAACTCTCATACACTACGCTCTCAAAACAGATGAAGAAATAACGGGTGGATAACAGAGACGAAGCCAATTATTATTATAATGGGATTTACTGAATGAAATGGAATAACAGGAGTCATGACGGGTCACTGCAGAGGTGTCGCCAGAAAACAAACGGGCAATTGAGGCGCCGCATATTTTTAACAGGCGTCATGACATCCTAAATGTGTTTGAAGAATCAGATAACTATCTCTCATTCTGCAGACTTCACTAGCCACTTCTTGTGCGTGTATGTTAAAGGGGTTTAGAATGTACAGCTGGAGACCCGTGCTGCATTCGCCCCCCTGTGTCGCTCCAATGATTGCCTTGCAAACAATTGAGATCGAATTGGGGGGGGGGGGTAGGGGGAGGGACAGATAAAGGAAAATAAATACCGAGAAAAATAATCCCATTAACGATGCAGAGGAGCAGAGCAAACATAAATGTATGGCTAGTATGCAGAGGAGCAGAGCAAACATAATAAATGTATGGCTAGTATGCAGAGGAGCAGAGCAAACATAAATGTATGGCTAGTATGCAGAGGAGCAGAGCAAACATAAATGTATGGCTAGTATGCAGAGGAGCAGGGCAAACATAAATGTATAATGTATAGCTTGTTGAATGTTGGAACTTATGTTTAAGTGAACGGCTGTTCAAATACGCTCATTAAAAAAAATAGAAATTGCGACATCATTGTTCTCATGTTCAAATTAAACCCATTGGTCGATTTCTGTCCGACCGACACTGGTACGGCTTAATTCTCCCATCTAAAAAAAAAATAACGGCCACTAGGTCAACAATGAGTTGTCACAGTCGTAAAGTTTAACGTTAACTTAGCACACAGTTTCCCCCAAAACAAAAATGTACTCCATCAAGTATACACACAAGGCTTTCATTGACGTCCAACGCATCACCATGGGACGCTTGGCACCGAGATTACCTGAAAGCGATTTCCGCTGGATGACGTCATCCGGCCATTCAACAGAGATAAGAAGATAGGCCGCGAACGCGTGTGATTGTAGGATAGCAAGAAGAAGAAAAAAAAAACAACTCCACCCCAACATCGATTTACTCGTTAGTGATTCATTCATGCAATCCATTTAGTTGTATCCATTATTGGATAGAAAGAGAAATGTTTCGAACCGTTTAATCTCTGGGCGTTAAAGAAAAAAAGAAGAGTGTAGCTCATTACATGTATTCCACAGGGCGCTTCTCTCAAAGGATATTGCGTTCCCAGGGCTTAGATTTTTTTTTTTTTTTTGGAAGGATTTGGAAGTTGTAAACATTTCTTCCAAAAAAAAAGGGACATAATTTATAAGGTCATTATGATGGGAATTCTGGACTGGGGGGTTGGGTCAAGAAGAGGATATTGCGTTCCCAGGGCTTAGATTTTTTTTTTTTTTTTTGGAAGGATGTGGAAGTTGTAAACATTTCTTCCAAAAAAAAAGGGACATAATTTATAAGGTCAGTATGATTGGAATTCTGGACTGGGGGTGTGGTTCAAGAAGAATAGTGTTTGTCTATAAAAAATGTCACTTGAACTCAGTTTCCTCAGGTAGTCCTTCCTTTCATCGCAGTCCCTAGCTACTTTTGCGAGAGGCAACCAAAAATGTCCTCTCAAAGGAGGATTATCAATGTGTATTGGCTAAGGGTTAGCGTCAAAATTGGCCCCATTGAGCAAGAGATGAGCGTGGAAGCTGTGAATGGATTGTGTGCTTATATGACAGCTGCCACTGACGTACATGACCGCTGCAACTGACGTATATAACAGCTGACACTGACACTCGACAGCTGCCACTGACTTACATGACAGATGCCACTGACTTACATGACATATGCCACTTATTACATGACAGCTGCCACTGACTTACATGACAGATGCCATTGACTTACATGACATATGCCACTTATTACATGACAGCTGCCACTGACCTACATGACAGATGCCGCCCTTGCGTGATGTATTCTTTATCTTCCTATTTGTCTGGGTCGTACATTTAATTTCTGGGAGCCACTGGCGTTGTGGTCTTCAGGCCATACAACCCATGCGGTTTTAAAGTTTCAAGCGTTCTGTAAGCTGAATCCTTAGGAAAGATCGTACGAATTTTCACTTGTAACTCAGGTCTGTTTAATCAGGAGTACTCAAACTATGTCCATCTGCTCCGAAAAGTTTGTGATTTGAATGATACTTCATTGGAAAAAATCCTATTGTCACTGGAACCAGGGTTAAATTATTAACAGTTTATTTTCGTATTCATTCACATTTGGATAATTTTAAAAACATGTTAGGCTCAAAGCATTTCAAAAAAATAATTTTCACATAAAAAAATAGACACCATTAATTCATAAAACCAATTCACTGTCTTTGTCTATTTTCTCAGCTACACAATCATGAATTTGACAAGTTAACATTCGTTTAAGTGGGTGGGGGTCATCATTGAACCAGTGGTTTAGGACTTACAGGAATGTTAGCTAACTATGGTGTCGCGTAAGATGCCAGCCATCAACAACGAATCGATTATGATTTTAGCCATATATCAAATATACATAGATGACAGTTGACACATGTATACAGAGATGACAGTTTACACATGTATCCGATTATGTTTCAGGGAGTTCAACGCCAGCAGGAACCACAACTCCGCTACCAGAGAGCACGTCGCAGTGACTCTGGTCATCTTCGTTGCCTTCGCAGTTGGTCTGGCGATCATCCTGAAAGCTTATTACAGGTACGATGGGTGGTGATACAGGTATCAGCTTATTACAGGTACGCTGGGTGGTGATACAGGTATCAGCTTATTACAGGTACGCTGGGTGGTGATACAGGTATCAGCTTATTACAGGTACGCTGGGTGGTGATACAGGTATCAGCTTATTACAAGTACGCTGGGTGGTGATACAGGTATCAGCTTATTACAGGTACGCTGGGTGGTGATACAATTATCAGCTTATTACAGCTACGCTGGGTGGTGATACAGGTATGAGCTTATTACAGGCACGCTGGGTGGTGATACAGGTATGATCTTTTTACAGGTACGCTGGGTGGTGATACATATATGAACTTATAACAGGTACGCTGTGTGGCGATACTGGTATGAACTTATTACTGGTGGTGATATAGATGTAGTTTGATATCGTCAATATTTATTTATGTACATCTTTAGTCATCTTCGCATGCGATGGACTAACAACAACAACAACAACAACAGCAACAACAGCAGCAGCAGCAGCAGCAGCAACCGCAACAACAACAACAGCAGCAACAACAACAACAACAGCAACAACAGCAGCAGCAGCAACAGCAACAGCAACAACAACAACAGCAACAACGGCAGCAGCAGCAACAGCAGCAGCAACAGCAACAGCAACAACAGCAACAACAGCAACAACAACAACAACAACAACAACAACAAGACTATTGTTTTAAGGACGTTTAAATTAGAACCCGATTTAAATGGCTTCGACCGTGATAAAGATTATCATTAAACCTTCTTTATGATTTGATTGTGTATTGTGGAATAAATTTTTGATATGATTGTGTATTGTGGAATAAATTTTTGATATGATTGTGTATTGGGTAACAAATGTTCTACTTTCATTGATGGTTGTAAGAACTTTTTTTTATTGTTGCTGGATTCACTCAGAAAAACTATATTTTCGACAGAAATGCACACAGTGCAATTACATCATTTGACCACATAAGTGTCCTTAAGATAACATACGAAGTGATCAGTTTTAGTTTCGCATTTGTTTTATTATACAATACCATGAACAAGAAAAACTGAGACACTTCCGGTACAGATTATGACAAGAAAGCCCCAGGTTTAATTTAACTAGAAACAGTAACGAAACTTCACTGTAACAGTATGACATGGTAGGACGACCGACGAGCTTTTTCCTGGCCTATTTGATGTTAGTTTATGATCTGATATTAAATGAAAGGCAACTTCGTATCGTTTTATCAAATCTGTTGGAGCAATGTGAAAGCATTAAAATGTAGTCGATTCCGTGCTACAGTCGAGATCCCCCTCACCAAAGCCTCGATACGCACGAGTGTACAAGTCAACACGTTAAAAAAAAAAGTTCTGTGTTTGTGTCCCCAGTATTTGTCGGACTTTGAATGTTGTCTCTGCCGTGGGCCGGAACCGCGTGTACCCCAAACAACAATCGCCACACCTGCAGGCGGACAGCATGGACCTGACCATGTCTATGGCCACTTCGTACAGACCCCAGTATACAATAAGGTGAGCAGATCTTACGGGCAAAGTATAGGTTGGTGACAATTTTGTGTACTGTGTCGTAGATATAAAAATCCGGGTATTTGAAGGTCTCAATGTTAAAAAATTTGAACAGAAAAATATGTATTTTTCTTATAGCTGGAGAAGACTTTTAGGCGACACACGTTCGTTATTTTGTATTTTCCCAATTCAAACGTTAAAATACCTTGTTTTAAATAAAAATAATTTTTAAAATGTAAACAATTACGCAGTTTTTCACCAAATCTTAAATATTTGAACTTAACGGATAGATGATGACGATTGAATGCTTTTATAACGCTTGTGTCCATGCTATTTTAGATAGCCCCGTCGTCTTCAACTCGATCATATTTTGTTATGTTAAGGGAAATAACACTTGCTTTAGAATATAATGATTACTATAAAAAAAAAAACCGATTACTTCTCCTTACCACCTGGCTGCTATTATTTGAACAGCTAATTTTGAACTGCCATACTAAATACATTCATTCTAAGTCTTTTCATTTGTTTTAATCTTGAGACAAGTTTCCCAAAGTATCAGTTACACAATTGGAAAAAAAGAATGTTTTTAATACCCAATGCCGACTCTTTTTCTAATAATTAACCTTTCAGTTCCTAAATAAACGCGGAAAGGGAGAATTATTATTATTATTATTATTATTATTATTATTATTATTATTATTATCAGGTGCTTTTATATAGCGCAGTACCCAAGCCTAGGGCTAGTCTCACTGCAATACATCAGGCTAGGGCTAGGCTTACTGCACTTCACATACAAATTAGCAATTACAGAAACTAATACATTTAAAAACAACAATTGGTGAATAGCTTGACCTCACCCATCCAAGTACTATCTCCCCCTGTCCAGCCATGGACAGCACCCAGCAGCATCGAGCACTGTTTATCAGTCAGAGGGGATGAGAATGAGTCTGTATAGTACAGTTTGAAGAGATGGGTCTTGAGGGCAGTTTTGAAGGCTGGGATGGTCGTTACATTGCGGATGTGTCATGGGAGAGAAGTCCATTGTTTTGGAGCACAGAAAGAGAAAGGTCGTTCATCTTATGTTTTAGTGCGTGCTCCGGGAACAAAAGAATACGCGCGTCTGAGGAGGAACAAAGCTTTCGAAGGGGTGAATAGACAGAAAGAAGTTCATTAAGATATGACTAGGGCAAGAACCAGAGAAAATATTGTGACAGAGAACAGACAGCTTGTAATCAATGCGTGCCTGCATAGGGAGCCAATGAAGTGAGTGGAGTAGTGGAGTGACGTGATCACGTTTCTCTGCCTGTAGAACTAGTCTAGCAGCTGAGTTTTGAACTTTCTGCAGTTTTTCTATAAAATGTTTCGGTGAACCTGACAGAAGAGATTTACAATAGTCAAGACAAGAGAGAACAAAAGCACAGACTAGTGTTTGTGTTGCGTAAACAGTGAGGTAGTGGCGGATGGAGCTGATCTGACGAATAGCAGTGTACGCAGACCTGCAGATGTGAGAAATATGATTGTTGAGAGACATGTTGTCAGAAAGAATGTAACCAAGAAACTTTTTAAGATATCATTTAAAAACTACACAATATCAACACGCATAATTTTCTATGTAACAATGACCGTTCTTGAGCTTGCAAAATAAAATTCCCGATAGCTGTTTAAAATATCGCAAGTGCGTTTGGTGCTAAACAATATCTTTTGCTTTATGGAAATAGTTGGTGTAATAAATCTGCGGTGAAACAGTGGGTGGGACATTAGTATATTAAAATTGATCAGGAGCGGTGGCGTATCGGCGGCCCGGTGGGGGGTGAGAATATCACTAAATGTAAATCTTCATAAAGTGCGTTACTTGAATGCATGTCCTGTCAAGTAACCTTGGCAGATGTGAAGTTGACACAATGCGGCCCGCCATCGTTTGACGAGCTAGAGCTAGTTTCGTCCTCATTTCTATTGATATTATTATGATGATGGGCAACAGCAGGACGTCCAACATTCTAACTACGCTTACATCCAACAGCACGGCATCATTCCTGGGCGGCACCTTGTCCAAAGACCACAAGGACGCCTTCATCGTCATGTACAACAAGCAGGACAGTTCGGTCAGCATCGATGACGTCAGCAGTCCTGAGGTGAAACAGACCAAGCCGCCGGTAACAACCAACGCCAGGTGCTTATTTCACAATTGTTTCGTTATTTCACAACAATTATAATAATTATTTTAATGAAATGCTAGGTATTTTCTGATTATTATTTGTTATTTCATGTAATTTTTTTTTTTACAATTATTTTTCATTTCACAACAATTTGTTGTTGCATGAAATTTATATTTTACATTATGACAATTATTTATTATTTCATGACAATTATTTGTGACTTAATATTTATTTTTTGCTATTTTATAGATTTGTATTTAATGTGCATAGTTTTCGAATAACATATTGCAATTTCGACCAAAGTAAAAAATAAAAGAAAGACCTCCTCTGGCCTTACTTAAAAAACTGTTGCACGTATTTCCATCATGGCTACTCTGCCTTCTAAAGATCATTCAACAAAGTTGTTCATTTGGGAGAATGGTGTGATCAGCTTACGTTGACTTGCCACGCCATGGCATCATTTAACAAAGTTGTTCATTTGGGAGAATGGTGTGATCAGCTTACGTTGACTTGCCACGTCATGGCATCATTCAACTTCATTTTTTTACGTGATGATAACAAATTTCTGCCATTTCTTTTTTAAAATTCCACCCAAGTAACTAATTTCGCTTCTTGTTTGTCGTATCCTCTTGACACACGATTCTTGCTTTTTTTTTTAAAATTTTTGTTTCGTTTTCATTTTCCTGGTTTTCCTGTGAAAGTAATTTTGATTCATACTTGGGTTGAAAGTGGGGAGTGGGGGGGGGGAAGACGTTGAGGCTGTGTGGCCAATCTCTCGCTCTTCATGGCCCCCTGGTTAACACGTTGGCAACAAGATCCATCTGTAGGGGCCATGCAACAGTTCATTACCGTGGGGCTCGCCTGCCAAGTTCAAGTTCAGAGGACGAAGCCAACAAGATCTCGTACGAAATGTTTCTAAAAAAACTTGCGTGCGTCCAGGTGTGTATGGCTTGACCGCTAACTGATGTACGCAATCGTCCTGCAGAAATGTTCCGCCCCGAAGTGCCTGCGGAGAACGACGTCAGGTGAGCGCCACACTCAGCAACGCCAGCACATCTTCCATCAAGTCCAGGGCTCCGGAGTTCACGGACATAAGCATAGGAGCGGACCTTCTGAGATTTCAGGTATAATGGCGTTTCTCAGTTCTCAGAATACAGATATGACCTTTTTCGGTTGTCAGAATTTAAGAAAAGCTTTTCTTATTATTTACATTTCAGGTTCTGCTTGTGTGTGTGTGTGTGTACATTTCAGAATTCAGAAACGACTTTTGTTCATTATTCATATTTCAGATTCGGTTTTTGCGAGTTCTCGGAATTCAGAAACGGCTTGTCGCATTATCTACATTTCAAGTTCTGTTTTAGACACTTCTCAGAAATTAAAATGGCTTGTCTCATTGTTCATTTTTTTTTCCAGATTAGAGTTTTATTAGTTCTCAGAATTCAGGTACGATTAGTCGCATAATTCATGTTTCAGGTTAGGTTTGCACAAATTCTAAAATTATCCGAAAATTTTACGTTATTTGGAAAATTTATTACGTCCATTCATATGTCCATTCATATGCACATTCATATGTCCATTCAGAAAATAATAGTAAAAACCTTTAGATCACTTTAGATATCTAATCATTAAAAAGCATACAATTCAAATGGCTTCTTACACTTACCATTGATTACGATTTCATTTAAGATTAGGAGCACCTCTTATTCGTGTCATGGTTGCGATCGAGGCAAACACTCACATTATTAGCATAAAATCTAAATAAACTTTTAGCTGCAACTTTGTAGCTTTGGTTTTTGGATGGACATGGGAAGTATCGTTTATAGTATCGCTATTGATGCTGATAACGTGCCTAAAGTTTGTAAAGCTGTAAATATTTTTAAAAATTATATTTTAAAAAAAAGCATCTAAAGATAAATATCTTTAAATAAGTTCTCTTATTAGATAAGATAAATTATTGATCCAAATATATGGACATTTATTTTAATGACATCCTACTTATTCTTATTCAACATACGGACAAACCAGTAGAACACTTCAGACCAGCGGTTCTCAACCTGTGGGTCGCAAACCCTTTGGGTTGCCTAATGACCCTTATACCGGGGTCGTCTAAGAACAACGGAAAACACTTAGTTATAAAGTAGCAACGAAAATAATTTAACGGTTGAGGGATCACCACAGCATAAGGGACTGTATTAAAAGGTCTCGGCATTAGGAAGGTTGAGAACCACTGCTTTAGACGTAATTCATTTCTAGTAGTTCTCACGCGAAGACATCAGCCTACATGTCTCGTACAAAATCATTTCCATAATGACATTATTGACTTTAGGAGTAATTATTTAATTATATGTTAACGAAAGTTTCCATTCACCAGAGACAACTCAGTCACAGCCAACAGCGGCGCCAGTCCTTCAGACGGGAGTCCATCAGTTTGAGCAGCGCCATTCGGAACTCCCTGGCCATGCTGATCGCCTACACCTCCTGCTCTCTCCCGCTCATTGTCTTCAGCGTCCCCGACCCGGCCTGGACCCTGACCCCCGTCCAGAGGCTCCACGCGTTGCTGTCGTGCCGTCTGCTGTTTTACCTCAACGCCCCGGTGTATCCGCTCTGGTATTTGATATTTAGCGCGACGGTCAAGAAATGTTTTACCCGGCTGTGGGAGAGTCTTGTCGGAAGGTACAGGTGCAGGCAGTGAATTTAAATACGGATTGAACAGAGTAGCATATGTATTTTAACACATAAAAATGTACGCAGAAGCTCAATTCAGATTAAGATTTACCCAAATAGTATTCTGCATGCAAAATACGTGAGGAGCATTGTCAAAGATTAGCATTGGTTTGCGGAAGCGACCAATTTGAATTGCGTGAAAACGGGTGCTAAAATTGCTGGGATCTGTCCGTCACAATGTGACCATGGTATAGACTTCGCAGGACGAAATCCACAAAGCATGGTATTATTATTTCTAGGATTATAGACTGGTTCCCTACACAGCAAATAGCCTCTCTTCACGCCACTGGATAAACGAAGGGAACACCATGCGGATCATACAGCTTGGCACCAGTGGCGTCGCAGGAGTTGTCGGAATTTTGTATGTTGTGTCAATGTTATCCGCCTATGGGACTCCATCTCCGGGTTTGAATTCAGAGTTTGACATTGACATTTTATAAAAAACATGATACAACTAAGTAGTAAAGTGATCTTAAAGGACTAGAAATATACATGTTTCACTGGAAGCTAATAATCTATCAGACGTAGCGCCCTGCCAGAGACAATAAAATGAATGTTTTGTGTAGCCTATTCAATAACCATCTTGACCAACCACCAAGTAATTTGCCAGAGGAAAAAAAAAGTGGGGGAAGGGCACTCAACCCACGCCGCAACTCAAGCTTGATACATTTCTAAGAATAAGAAAAATGAGGAAGTGTGTTGATAACAGAAATACTGATTATTTGGCTACGTTGAGACGATGCTAAGAAAATTAAGCAAGAGACATAGGCACTGGGATCTTACCCATGGCTTTCGATAAACTCGTCAGCTGTCATCTGTGGGTTATGCTGGGTGTGTACCATCAATATCTGTGTCTAATGTGCCGTTATACAAATGACAATTTAAAATAACAATCCTAACTGATAACATCGCTATCATCTTCAAGATCGAATCGACATGAGAGGCAGTATTAGTTTGGGGGGTCAGCCGGTGAATTATTGTAGTGCCACTGCAGTAGACTTAAGACTTCTAATCGCTGAAATCGTTTTAGTTTTAATTATTCAATTATGTTCTTTCCCCTTAATGTCTGAAATACTTCTTGTAAGTTTCAGAAGCTGGGCATTGTTAGAGTTGGGTTGGGGTTAATGAAGTGCGCCAATAAAAGAAGAAAGTGATGTTGATGAGTGATGTTGGCGAGTGACGTTGGTGAGTGACGCTGGTGAGTGATACTGGCGAGTGATGTTTGCGAGTGATGTTGGCGAGTGACGTTGAAGAGTGATGTTTATGAGTGATGTTTGCGAGTGATGTTGGCGAGTGACGTTGGTGAGTGACGTTGGTGAGTGATGTTGGTGAGTGATGATAAATGCATGTTTGCAAGGAATAAGTTATACTAATGTCGCTTGATGTAGTGAGAATTTGATTTCATGGAAGTTGCAGTGAATGAGAAGGGAAAAACAACAACCAAAAAAAACACAAAAAAAACAAAAAACAACAACAACAACAAGAACAACGAGATGCGTCAATTCAAGCTACAGGTTGATTCGTTCGTCACTAGATCCAAGAAAAATGCGAATATGTCAGCAAGTTAGGAATGGATAATCATAAAATGTGCGTTGGAGAACGAACGTGTTGGAGAGTGAGCTTGAAAGTTAGTGTGTTTTAAGAGAATAGAGAGTAAGAAGAATTCAGTTAGTGGTGAACACGAAAGGTGTTAAGGACTACATCGATGATAAAAAGTGAGTGACAGAGGGAGAGAGACACACAATGAAATAATACGCTTCGTGTCACTATCGTTGTCCTATGCGTTTACTGTTTTAAAGAGTACAATATAAATAAATGATTACAAACGATTCACTTTTTTTTATTATTTTTTATATTTAAAAAATGTATTTGAAACAATAAACAATCAGTCTTAATCCTAGAGTAACACCACTCGTAAGGTACATCCTACACATATACATTGTAACACCACTTTTTTTTAAAAATACAACTCACATTCGACGCATAGCATTAACACAGAGACGTCAGTTGTCTATGACACTTATGATTAGGTGAGATGAGATGGTGTAGCGGACACAGCTGAGCGGCTTTTTAAATTTCTGGTATCAAATGTCCACTGACTTAATATCGTTGTTACAACAGCTCTCAACATTTATGTCGGAAATTTAACTGCGAAAGTTTTTCATGCAAAAAAATAGATTAAAATAAAATGAAAATAATAATAAAAATAAGTTTCGCTTTGAGATATTTCATAAAAAACACGAAAAATTAGTTAAACAATTAGTTATACAATAAGCAAAACAATTAAAAGAAATTTCATATCCGAAGTCTTGGGATTGTTTTGAAACAACTTTGACTTTTATTTTGAACAAAGTCTTCTAGTTGTCCAGTACAAAGTCACTATAAATAGTATTCCTTACTCTCTATGGGCAACTTGGATTCTTGAGTAATCCTTCTAATCAATTTAATCATTGTTTCACGGTACTGTAAAATGCTTTTGTTCTTACGATTTGAACACCTTTGAAAAGAAACCGTTTATACTAAATAATCTGTTGACATTAAGTTAAGAACCCTTAGTCTACACTCCCCTGATTCACTTAATATTCTTGTAAGTTTGCTTTTGTTATGAATATTAACAACATTTTCAGATTTACAACAAGACTCCCACAATGAAACTGAAAAAATATTTCGTTGAAACACACACAAACACACTGCCTGTCATGGATTTAATATAACACAACACGGAGTAATGCTCTTAGCAGTGTGGATGAATTGTGTTAGCTGTAATCTGATAACAAAGTATCAAACCGAAACATTTTAAATCATGCAAGCTAAAAGATAAAAACAACCGAAAGTTAAATTTAGAGATGTTGAGTTAACTTAGAGATGTGGAATCCACTTGGAGATGTGGAGTTAACTTAGAGATGTGGAATCCACTTGGAGATGTGGAGTTAACTTAGAGATGTGGAATCCACTTGGAGATGTGGAGTTAACTTAGAGATGTGGAATCCACTTGGAGATGTGGAATTAACTTAGAGATGTGGAATCCACTTGGACATGTGGACTTAACTTAGAGATGTGGAATCCACTTGGAGATGTGGAGTTAACTTAGAGATGTGGAATCCACTTGGAGATGTGGAGTTAACTTAGAGATGTGGAATCCACTTGGAGAACACCTCAATTGAATCTCTAGTGGATCCACTTGGACATGTGGAGTTAACTTAGAGATGTGGATCCACTTGGACATGTGGAGTTAACTTAGAGATGTGGATCCACTTGGACATGTGGAGTTAACTTAGAGATGTGGATCCACTTGGACATGTGGAGTTAACTTAGGGATGTGGATCCACTTGGACATGTGGAGTTAACTTAGAGATGTGGAATCCACTTGGACATGTGGACTTAACTTAGAGATGTGGATCCACTTGGACATGTGGAGTTAACTTAGAGATGTGAATCCACTTGGACATGTGGAGTTAACTTAGAGATGTGGATCCACTTGGACATGTGGAGTTAACATAGAGATGTGGATCCACTTGGACATGTGGAGTTAACTTAGAGATGTGGATCCACTTGGACATGTGGACTTAACTTAGAGATGTGGATCCACTTGGACATGTGGAGTTAACTTAGAGATGTGGATCCACTTGGACATGTGGAGTTAACTTAGAGATGTGGATCCACTTGGACATGTGGAGTTAACTTAGAGATGTGGATCCACTTGGACATGTGGACTTAACTTAGAGATGTGGATCCACTTGGAGATGTGGAGTTAATTTAGAGATGTGGATCCACTTGGAGATGTGGAGTTAACTTAGAGATGTGGAATCCACTTGGACATGTGGACTTAACTTAGAGATGTGGATCCACTTGGACATGTGGAGTTAACTTTGAGATGTGGAATCCACTTGGACATGTGGACTTAACTTAGAGATGTGGATCCACTTGGATATGTGGAGTTAACTTAGAGATGTGGAATCCACTTGGAGATGTGGACTTAACTTAGATATGTGGATCCACTTGGACATGTGGACTTAACTTAGAGATGTGGAATCCACTTGGAGATGTTGAGTTAACTTAGAGATGTGGAATCCACTTGGAGATGTGGAGTTAACTTAGAGATGTGGAATCCACTTGGACATGTGGATTTAACTTTGAGATGTGGAATCCACTTGGAGATGTGGAATCCACTTGGAGATGTGGAGTTAACTTAGAGATGTGGAATCCACTTGGACATGTGGATTTAACTTTGAGATGTGGAATCCACTTGGAGATGTGGATTTAACTTAGATATGTGGAATCCACTTGGACATGTGGAGTTAACTTAGATATGTGGAATCCACTTGGACATGTGGAGTTAACTTAGAGATGTGGAATCCACTTGGACATGTGGAGTTAACTTAGAGATGTGGAGTCCACTTGGACATGTGGAGTTAACTTAGAGATGTGGAATCCACTTGGACATGTGGAGTTAACTTAGAGATGTGGAATCCACTTGGACATGTGGAATCCACTTGGACATGTGGAGTTAACTTAGAGATGTGGAATCCACTTGGAGATGTGGAGTTAACTTAGAGATGTGGAATCCACTTGGACATGTGGATTTAACTTAGATATGTGGAATCCACTTGGACATGTGGAGTTAACTTAGAGATGTGGAATCCACTTGGACATGTGGATTTAACTTTGAGATGTGGAATCCACTTGGAGATGTGGAATCCACTTGGAGATGTGGAGTTAACTTAGAGATGTGGAATCCACTTGGACATGTGGATTTAACTTTGAGATGTGGAATCCACTTGGAGATGTGGAATCCACTTGGAGATGTGGAGTTAACTTAGAGATGTGGAATCCACTTGGAGATGTGGAGTTAACTTGGAGATGTGCAGTTAACTGTACGACGAACTGATGAGGCAAATGATAAATAAACTATTTCAATCAGTAGATAACAAAAGTTTTGTTTACTGTGGGTTCTGAGAGCCTGATGGGACGTACCGGCGCCTGCCCTTAGTAAAGAATAGGTGATACATTTTAAAGGTACCTCTGTATAATGTCAACACGTTTTGTGCGCCAGCTTTTGAGACGAATTCATATTGTTCGATTCTTTTTAGGTTTTTGCGTTGGTTTAGGTTTAGGTGCATAAGGTCTGATCTCCGTGGAGCACCCGTTTTCCAAGACACATCTCAGCAAGAGGGACTTACACTTGACCTCGTCATAGTACCGGAGATCTTGGCACGGGACGCTCTCGGAAGCCGTCGAGCGGTTTTTCTCCCGAAGACACATGCATTCCTCTTCTATGCAAGAGTCTTTGACATCTTGCTGGCACGTGTATATGTCTTTACCATCTTTTGGCACAGCTGTGGTGCCATTCACAGCCATGGTTGTGTTCTCTTCTTCCCCGATTCGTTCTGAAGTGTTTCCGGTTAGTTCCGGTGTGGTGGTGTCTGTAACTTGTGGCGTGGTGGTGTCTGTAACTTCCTGTGAGGTGGTGCCTATAACTTCCGATTTGGTGATGTCTGTAACTTCCGGCGTCGTGGTGCCTGTAACTTGTGTCGTGGTGGTGTCTGTAACTTGTGGCGTGGTGGTGTCTGTAACTTCCGGTGTGGTGGTGTCTGTAACTTCTGGCGTGGTGGTGTCTGTAACATCTGGCGAGGTGGTGTCTGTAATTTCCGGTGTGGTGGTTTCTGTTACTTCCGGTGTGGTGGTGTCTTTTACTTCCAGTGTGGTGATCTCTGTGACTTCCGGTGTCGTGGGGTTTGTAAACTTCGGCGTCGTCGTGTCTTTGGCGGCAGGTGTTGTGTTGTCCTTCTCTTCAGGTGGGGTGTCATCTGTCACGGCCTGGACGATGGTGTCGTCACCATTTACCCCATGGACAGAAAGTATGAGACACAGACACGTGGCCAAGAAAACCTAGCGAGATGCCAAAAAAAGTCAATTACATTTGATCTAGATCAGAGGTCGGCAACTTTTTAGTAATATTTTGCCAAGGTTTTGATATCGACTTCATTCAGTCAACAAAATATACATTTACCCTATAATATGCATATTTAAAGACAGTTACCATCATTATTTAGGTCCATTTCACGCCATTAAAAAATCGCAATGCAACAAACGACCTAGTTGTCAGAACTTTTCTGTGATACATTACTTTCGGAATGCTTTGTAAAAGTCTCTTCGGCCTTAAGAAGGTGGACGACACTGCGCCTTAAGAAGTTGGACGACACTGTGCCTTAAGAAGGTGGACGACACTGCGCCTTAAGAAGGTGGACAACACTGCGCCTTAAGAAGGTGGACAACACTGCGCCTTAAGAAGGTGGACAACACTGCACCTTAAGAAGGTGGACAACACTGTGCCTTAAGAAGTTGGACGACACTGTGCCTTAAGAAGGTGGACAACACTGCGCCTTAAGAAGGTGGACAACACTGTGCCTTAAGAAGGTGGACAACACTGCGCCTTAAAGAAGGTGGATGACACTGCGCCTTAAGAAGGTGGACGACACTGCGCCTTAAGAAGTTGGACAAAACTGCGCCTTAAAGAAGGTGGACAACACTGCGCCTTAAAGAAGGTGGACAACACTGCGCCTTAAAGAAGGTGGACGACACTGCGCCTCAAGAAGGTGGACGACACTGCGCCTTAAGAAGTTGGACGACACTGCGCCTTAAAGAAGGTGGACAACACTGCGCCTTAAAGAAGGTGGACAACACTGCACCTTAAAGAAGGTGGACGACACTGCGCCTTAAGAAGTTGGACGACACTGCGACTTAAGAAGGTGGACGACACTGCGCCTTAAAGAAGGTGGACAACACTGCGCCTTAAAGAAGGTGGACAACACTGCGCCTTAAAG